CTTCTTCCAGAATTCGCCTGTTAACCAGCCTAACATCTGTCCAAACTCTTCACTTTTATTTCTCCCTGCTCTGGTTTATACGCCTCCAAACCCCCGCCTCCCAGATCCTCTTTAGGCATAGGGTCTAGGGCAAGTGCCTCCCAAGCTAAACACCTCTCAAATTCATCCTCCAAACCCTACCCTACAACTTTTACTCCTTCCCTCTAAGACCCTTCTCTCCCATTTCATCCTTAAGGATCATCAAGATGACTGCTTTTGGCTGGACAGGCATGGTGGCTCTCATGCATGTAATCCCACCACTTTGGAAGGCCGAGGCAGGCATATCTCTTGAGGTCAGGAGTTAGAGACCAGCCTGGCCAACATGGTGAAACCCCGTCTCTACTAAAAATACAAAAATTAGCTAGGTGTGGTGGCGCATGCCTGTAAATCCTAGCTACTCGGGAGGCTGAGGCAGGAGAATTGCTTGAATCGGGAGGTGGAGGTTGCAGTGAGCCGAGATTGTGTTACTGCATTCCAGCGTGGGAGACAGAATGAAACTCCATCTCAAAAAACAAAAAAAGATGACTGCTTCTGAAGATGGTTCTGAGTTCCTGATAACCCTTCTCTTGTGGATTGCACTGGGTCCTTTTACATCCGCAGAATTGCTTTTCTTCTGAGTGTCCATGAAACACCCCTTTAGCATGTCTTTCCGCAAGAAGAAACTGTGGTTACTCCCTTGCTCTTTTGAAAATTGTGACAGAGCTGCACTTGTCCTAAGATACCTGGGGAAGTCTCACCCACTCCCCCGGGACCCTGTCAAATCTGCTCTGGACCTGGCCTCAGCCATCTGTAACCTGTATCACCTTTCCCTCCCTGCTCCAGCTTAATGAATTCCAGTGAAGCAGCAGTGAAAAAATTTTTACTCAAGAGCAGTTTATCTCAGGTGGTTTTTCATGACAACCTCATTGCACAATGAATCCATGAGGTTGAGGTAAAGTAGCCACAAGGTTTTGCATTAGGTGTTAGTGGCTTGACCCATATTCATTTCATTCTCCCTATATCCTGGGGGACCATAGAGGTGATAGGAAGTCCTCAAGGTGCTCTAAGGCAGGCTCCATTTTACAGAGGAGGCAGTGGATACTCGGGGTTACTGACTTGCCCAAGGTGTCACACATGTTCCTGGGCTACGGAAGCCAGAAAGACTCCATGTTTCTTGGGGTTTTTTTGTTTGTTTTTGTTTTTCTGAAAGCACATTATCTCTCTAGGAAATCCATGAATGGATTCTTATTTTCTCCCATACCCAAGTCTTGGGTTCTAGGCCAGGCACGGTGCCTCATGCCTGTAATCCCAGCACTTTGGGAGGCTGAGGCAGGAGGGTCACTTCAGGTCAGGAGTTTGAGACCAGCCTGGCCGATGTGGCGAAACCCCGTCTCTACTAAAAATACAAAACTGAGCCAGGGCCAGGTGCTGTGGCTCACGCCTGTAATCCCAACACTCTGGGA